AGATACATTTTTGCCAATGTAGGCTCTCTTTTTAGCTCTAATTCACTCTGGAAATGACTCCATTGAAAGGAGCATCTTAGGGTTGTCAGAACATAGAGGAGAGAGGCCCGGTGAACATTCCCTGGTAAATGACTCACTCCACACAAGTTTGTTGTAGAAAACTTCTTTCAAAAAGAATGATGCAGACTTTACTTTTGTTGAAGTACGTAGCTGGAAGGTGAGACTATTCAATTAGTGATAAAGACCTTGAAAGTAGGATGTGACATAATAGTCCAAACTGAAGAGGATCCCTAGGTCCTGAACAATGCAGATAGTTCTGGAACACAACAGAGGATGTTTAATTCTGCTACAACTAAGGATTCTCACTCTTTTCTAGGTGGAAGGGAATTAGGAATTAATGTAGAAATCTACTATATGACTATTTAATTATGCTTAACTTAACTGTGAGTGTAGTTCTCATTCCTTAAAACCAAGCCAACCCCATTGCTGTCAAGTTGATTCCGGCTCATGGTGACCGCATGTGATATGGAATACAACTATTCCATAGGGTTTTCTTGGCTGTAATCTTTATAGACCACAGATTGCCAGGCCTTTCTTCTGTACCACTGCTGGGTGGATTTGAACCGCCAACCTTTAGGTTGTACCACCTAGGGACTTTTATCCTTCCTTTTCTGGTTTAATTATTTTTAATCCTTTTCTCTCCTTAAAAATCCTTAAAGCACCCCTGCAGATATTGTTAAGAATGTTTGTTGCAGTCAAGATTCTTGTTCTTTGAATGCATAAACTAGGCTTAGGAAATATATCCTAATAGAGTTGCTGCATTCATCAAATTTATGAACTCCTTCAAGTTTTCTTTTTGGTTTGGGTACATTACATCTTTACCTGTGACACCAGTATTTATTTGAGTGCTTATTCTCTTGTAGGTTCTTGAGTTGTATTCAAAGTGAGCTGTCACTGGGTTCATTATGTCTGAGTAAAATGAAAGTCTCTCATGACAGGTTTAACGGAAAGCCATGGATTACTTTTCAACAGAAAGTTGTGGATTAATTTGTACACGATTAAAGAATATGTTAAAAGGATGCCTGTAGAGAATTGGATTTAGATTAATAAGGTACTTTTTTTTCCCTATCACAAAGGATTAGTAAAAATAAAATATTCCCTACAGCTTCCTTTCCCATCTGTTGAGAAGACAGAATCTTCTATTTGTTGTTCTACTTTTAGGCTTTTTCAGGGTAATCTGTGGCAATACAAAACTAGAGAAGTCCTGAGAGGCTAAAAACCTTGCATCCCAGAAAAGTGAACGCAGACCCTGGGAAGGAGGGAAGGTCCTGGAAGGAGGCCGAGACTTAGAGTGAGTAGGACAATCAGGAGGCCAGGTATGAGAGATCAAGAAAGGAGAACCAGAAAGAGGTCAGGTTTTTTGTGGCTTGTGGGGCTTGGGGGGCGGGGAGGGGGAGGGAGAGAGAGAGAGAACGAGACAGAATTAAAGAGCTTTTGAGGAAAATTTTGCTTTATCCTATATAGTGTAACGTCTTTGTTATGACTCTTAAGAACCCGTCAGTAGAGATGAACATTTGCTCATCAGTGCTTTGGGAGTCTGTTTTTTTCACCCATTTTTTATATATTAAGATAATAAGACTGTGTAGACAGTTTACTTAGATTACTTAGATACAGATTACAGCTAGATTATTACCTGTTAGCATTTAGTCAGAATTTTTTGGCTGTACCATTAGGTGTGGATAAAATGCTTTAAAATTTTGTCTTCAAAATTTGTGCTCCTAGTGAGAATCTCTTCTGGAATACAGAGGCTCCCCTTCCGCCTCTCGCCTCATCCATATGTTAGTGGCATCTTTATTGCAGCTGCAAGTAACATGCTCATTTTAGGTGAGCTGTTATCTAATAAGAAAGATCCAGTCTCACATGTTATGAGTCTTCATTAGAACATCCACGCCTTATTTCCTATTTATGGTTAGCTTTTTCCTTTT